TTATAATTAAAAATTGAACAATTTTATTGTCAACAAAAAAATGCAAATGTGAATTGATTTAAAAGCTATTTTGATTGGTTGCATGTCACCAAAAACAACATGAATTATCAATTAAATAACGTTTTTATAAACAAAAAACATCAATAACAATTTTAGTTTATATTATTTTTGATTTTAAAACACTTAAATTATGTTTGATTCAAGCGTCTAAATAGAATTAAATGTTTAAAATCCAAATTTCAAACAACTATAAGTGTTAAAAAGTTAAAATATGAAAACAGTTGTAATTTAATTTAGTTCAATCAAATTACAATGAACAATATTTATTTTGTTCATTTACACACATCTAAAATAAACATTTTTTATTTTCATAATTAACAAAATTGTACAAAATTGTATAAAATACTTCGTTTTGTCACATTGATGTTATTTAAATTTATAATCAAAATAACAAACAACAAAATATGTTTTAACAAATAAATTAATTTATTAAATATTTTTGTATTTTTTGAAGTTTTACATTGTTTTGAAAAATTGTTTTTGAGTTACATTATATAAAAATACTTTTTAAATAATAATAAATTTTATTAATATTTATAAAATAAAAAATGTTATTTAACAACAAAATTCATCAAACTCTTATTTATTGTTTAAAAAGCAAGCACCAAAGCGAAAATAGCCACGACAATAGCAAAAGAAACAGCAGTACTTTCTTCAGTTGGTTCGACATAATCTTTACAGTGTCCTTTTCCATCAGCCAAATAATAATTGTTTGTAAACAAATCTTCACAGACAATGCATTTCGCGGCATCGTTTCTTGTTTGGCAACTATCAACATTCGTGCAATTGTCTCCGTCCTTTTTATATCCATAATTACACGTCTTGCAAGTGTGGTCTTTGTTATAGATTAAGCAGTATGCAATAGGTTCATAGGTAATGCATTCAGTCGCACTCTTCACACATCCACCTTCACATTTAGCATCACATTTTTGGCATGTGTATTGACCATCTACATAATAACCGCTCTCACAATCAATGCATTTGCCTGGTCTTACATTGTCATAGTTTGTACAATGATCAATTATGTAGCACTTCGTATCATCACCACTTTTGTTTGTATATTTGCATACAGAACTGCATTGATTGCAGTAATTTCGTGTGTTATCAGTATCGTTATTAAATGAATCACACTCACCATCGCAAGCCAAGCATTTACCCTCAACAGTAATGTAATTTCCATATAAACATTTTGTACATTTAGTATCAGAATTGCCTTCGGAACATTTATCACATGATGGATGACATTTGACACAATTATTATCAGAAGTTACAGAACCATAATCAAAATCACATCGTGTGCATTTTTTGTAATCATTCGGATCACACAAGGAGCAACCGGTGTCACACTTTTTGCAAACTTTACCATCCAAAGCAAATGAAGGATAACAATTAGTACATGTTTCTGTATCTAAATAATTACATGATTCACAGTTCTCTCCACATTTGAAGCACTTTTTAACCGTGGAATTAAATTTGTGATTTAAAATGCATGTTTTACATTCTTCCAAGTTGTTTTCATTACATGAAGCACATCCAGTCCCGCATTTCTCACACTTGTTGTTGTTGAGTCCATACCCATAATCACAATCAGTGCACTTGCTCGCAGAATCGGCCTCATCACATTGAGTGCAATGA